GGACCCAGGATTCCAGGGGTGGTCTCCCCAGGGCAGAGCAGAGGGGCAGGAGAACCTCCCCAGCCCTGCTGGACACACTTTTCTTGATGCCCCCCCAGGATCCCACTGGCCCTCTTGGCCACAAGGGCACGGTGCTGTCCCAGGGACACTCCCTGCCCACTGGGACTCCAAGGTCTGTCTCCTTGGAGAAGAAAGAGCTCGGTGTGGGGTTAGGCGGGGTATTGGTCCACGGGAGAAAGCAGAGCGACGAGAGGAGGCGGGAGGGCGATAGCCCTGTTTCCCTGGGTGCCCTGTGCCCACCTCCCACACACACCTCCCTGGCATGGAGGAAATCATCTCCACAGAGTCCCAGGCACGGGCCGAAGTGTTGTCAAGTCAGAAAATCAAGGGGGTCTGGGGACTTGATATCCTGACGAGTCATGTCGTGTTAATTGCTGCTTTTTAGTTCAGCTCACGACTCCTCAAATAGAATCACAACCTGGTTTGGGTTGGAAGGGACCTTAAAGACCATCTCGTTCCAACTCCCCTGCCATGGACAAAACTGTTCAGCGAACTACCTAAAGAGCAGCCTGGGATTGTCTCCAGAGAAAGCCAGAAAACTCTTGGGAAGCCCTGAAAGGAATCCTGGGGAGCAGTGGAGCATGGACCTGCCTCCATCATTAAAAAATCTCTTTAAGTAATGATCTAGGATGAGTCTGCTGTGGCCATCGAGGGCTTAAGATGTCTCCTGAAGAAGCCAGAACACTCTTGCAGATGCTTTGGAGGAGCCTTGAAGAGCCACCACACAAAAAACTCCTCGGGTTCCTACCCTGGAGGAGTCTGGGGTCCCCAAAAGCGTTGTGTGTGCCAAGGGAAGGTTCATGCCTGGAACCTCTCCAGGAAAACTCGTGGGCATCCCCAGGAGTGTGCCTTGGCCTCCTCTGGAGACAGCTCAGGTCCCAGATAGAAGCCCTAAAGTGCCCCAAGGAGTTTTGTCAGCGTTAGAGGCAGGTCTGTGCCCGTTAGCTGTTGCATGGAAGCTTTTTTGGTTTATTTTTAAGGCCCCAGTTTGTCCTCAGAGGCAACCAAACTCCAGAGCAACGCACTGGAAGGTTTTGGCATTGGTTTATTTTTTTGTTTGTTTGTTTTCTCTTTTAAGGATTAATAACACCATTTTTTCTTGCATAGATCATCGCAGCAGCAGCTAAATGTGAAATCAATTCCTGTACCGCGCACTTGACAGGGCAATAACCCAAATGTTAATCTCAAGCACCCAACAAGGATTTGTGTCATTGTGCTGGATATCTGCTGCTGGAGACGTATCGAGGAAAGAAACTGCCTGGGGAGCTGCCTGTTTTTCCCTTCTTTTTCTCTCTTTTTTGTTTTTTTAAAAAAGAACTAGCGCTTTGGAAGGGTTCCACGTGCCAGTTGGCCGAAGGGGTGGTCGCTCCCACCACTGGGCTGTCCCGGTTTGGTTTGCCTGGTGGTCCCAGGGGACCCAGAGACACTTCATTCCCTCCGTTAAAGCCATAACCTGGTTATTTCTGTGAGGTTATTCCAGCTTTGCTTCTCTTTGGGCAGCCTCTGCTCCCCCGTGGTGCCTTCAGACCACCCCAAAGCCCCCCCTGAGCTCGCTTTGCCCTTCCAAGCGGCCACGGGGAGCTTTGAACCGACTCGTCTGGATGACTCTGGTGACCACCTGGGTGATGTTGCCAGAGGCACTGACACCCGCAGCTGCTCGCTCCACCCCCAAAAAAGAACCTGCGTGGGGGAACATCCCACGTCTCGGCCAGCCCGAGCTCTGAGGTGGTGGGACAGAGGGGACCTGCGCTCTTGGGGTTTTCCAGAGCCCACGTGTGCTGAGCTTACAAACTCTGCTTGTGTCCTTGGGCACCCCTTCGGAAATCAATCCGCTTCGGGGGGCAAAAAGAGAAAACGATCCGTGTCCTTCGACCTCCTATTCTGGCAGCGTCCTGCGGCGCCAGCTCACGCTGCTCGCGTTGTCTCGGTGGTGTTGCAGGGCAGGCTGACGGACGGGAAGGGCAAAACCATTGACTGCAAGGATGCCATCTTCATCATGACCTCCAACGTGGCGAGCGAGGAGATCGCCCAGCACGCCCTGCAGCTCCGGCAAGAGGCCGCGGAGATGAGCAAGAACAGGATCGCGGAAAACTTAGGTACTGGTTTATCAGTGTCGTGCTTCAAACGCCTGAGGGATCCACCTCCTTCCTAATGTCCATCTGGCACCAGCTCGGCCATCCCTCTGCCAGGGAGAAGCACCCAGACCCTTTGGTTGCCTCTCCTCTGCTCACCCCGGCTGCTGGGCCACCCTGCAGGGTCCTCCAGCTTCAGGGCAAGCCATGGGGATGCTCCTCTGCCAGAAGGGAAGGTCTGGTCTTTCGTGTGTGTGTCTGGAAAGTTGCGCTGTTTGCTTCTAGGTTCACCTGTTGCTGAAAAGTTCCACACCTCAATCTCCACCGTTCTCCTTCCTGTGATTCCTCTGCTTTGGGCTTGCCCTGTTCTTCTGTTTCCAGGCCAGGTTGGACGGGGCTTTGAGCAACCTGGTCAAGCAGGAAGAGTCCCTGCCCACGGCAGGGGGGTTGGAACGAGATGATCTTTAAGGTCCTTTCCAACCCAACTCATTCTATGAAATCTTCGCTGTTGATGATTGCATCCTTCAGAGGGAGGTCACGTTTTGGAGAAGGCTTTCTGTCCCACCCCTCAGCCTTCCTCATCCTGTGCTCTCTTGCCTTTCTCTCCTCACCCTTTTCATTCTTCCAGGAACCCTCCCAAACACTTCTTAGAAAACCTTGGGGCTGGTGTGGGTGCTGATGTTGAAGAGGAAGAGTTTTGGTTCCTTAAGCAATTTTACAGAATCACAGAATTGCCTGGATTGGAAAAAACCTTTAAGGTCATCGAGTCCGTTTTACTTCACTTTGGAATGGGAGCCCTGGACCCACACATCTGGATCCTCTAGAAAATTTTCCAGAAACACGAATTAGATTATAAAAGGAGAATTGAGCAGATGAAGGGCAGCCACCGGCACGGGGAAACACCGTCTCTGTCGCCTCCCGCTGTGCCCGTGGATAACCAGTTAGTTGTGGGTGATGCTGCATCCCATGTTTTCTCATTTTAAAAAACTCCTCAGGAATTGAGTTTTTTATTTTAAGACCCTTTTATGGTCTTAAATATCCTGACACACATCTTCCATAGGGTACCTACGTCACGGATACACCCTGTTTCCTAAAGGTGAGTCCCGACAGCTCTGCTCGCCGATGGAAATACCCGGAGAAGCTGCAGCTGTGCCCGGGAAACAACCACAGCCTCCTCCTCGGCTCCACGGGAGCAGTTAAAAAATGTTGAGTTTTGGCATCGAGCGTGTTTTCCAACTCCTTTTTGCTTCGAGAAGCAGGCGCCAAAAGCTGCCTTCATTCAGAATCTTTAAACTTCAATCAAACTCGGTAAAGGACAAAGCCACTGAACTTTCAAGAATAACATTTTAAAATGCCAAGAGCTTTTCTCCTAAATGAGGAAAGCATTGAATTTTAATTTCTAGAACTGTACACAGACAGCTGCAGCGAGCAACGACAGCGAGAGAACACGGCCGGGAAATGCATTTCGGCTCAGGAGCCTGCCCTCAATTGAGTTTCGTGGAGCAACTTCCAATTTAGCCAGTTCTTGGCTTGGAAATGCTCTGGAAGGCGGGGGCCGGGAGGTCAGCCTGAGTGCCCGGGTGGGCAGATAAATGGAAAGATAGAGGGAGGGAGCTGCTTCCTCGGCATCTGCAGATATTACAGGTGGCAAACCTGAATGCTAGGGGGGTGGCTCTGTCTCTTCTGCCTTCTGCAGCTCGCACAGAGTGCCCAATTTCTGTTACTTAGTGGGGAAGAAAAAAAGAAAATATCTCTTGGTGTCTTTTAGAAGAAAATAGAGAAGTGAAATGGGCTGAATCCTCACAGCCAGAGACCCCCTACTTAATTTAGACCCCGTGGCCCGGCTCCAGGTCCAGCTCACCCTGCCGGCACCGGTGTCGGTCTGCTGGAGCCCGAGAGCCCCTTCGACCGGTGCTGGGGGTGCAGCGATCCCCGCCGAGGCTGGGAAGATGGGAAGAGCTCCCAGAACCCAGCGTGGGTCTCCCTTCACCACCCTGCGTGTCAGGACCCTGTCCTGGGTGTGAGGGATCTCCCTGCATGAAACCTGGGGAGATGCGGGAAGAAACGAGCAGGTAAAGACAAAGAGAAAAGTGAATTTGGGCAGCGGAGCCAAGAAAACGCTGCGTTGGAGTTTGGGATTCGGGAGCCAGCCAGACCCTGGCTCCATCTGCAGTCAGCCGAGGGAAGTAGACTCCAGCCCCAGTGTCGCAAACAGACCCAGCGTGGGGACACGCTGGTCCCAAACCGAGCGTGTCGGAGGTTCCAGATCTGTTCCAAAGTCCCCTGGGAACCCCCCCTGCGCAGCCTCCTCCTCCTCGTCACCCTGCTCTGCTCCTCAGTCACCCCCCATGTCCTGCCCTCCCCACTGACACCCCCTGCCCTCCTGTCTTTCAGAGGACGTCCAGATGACCGACAAGATAACCATCTCCAAGCAGTTCAAGGAAAAGGTTATTCGACCCATCTTGAAGGTATGGATGGATATTTTTTTTTATTTATTTTTTTTCCCATGGTTTAATGTTTCAGGTGTCCTGAGCTTTGGTCACTCAGTCGTTTGACGCGATATCCCGCGTGTTCCTCACCCAGGTGTCCCCCAGCTCTGAGGCAGTGCTGGGTTAGCGCTTGGCCTCAGGGATCTTAAAGGTCTTTTCCAGCCTAAAGCATTCTGTGATTCTCCAAGCGTCATGACGTCGTTTTTTAATTTTCAGCCACTAAGAATTATAGAATGGTTTGGGTTGGAAGGCACCTTTAATTCGGGTCAGAGTCCAACAGAAATAGGTGGCAACTTCTTGTTCACTCCCTGTGCTCTTGTGTTTGAGAGAGAACATGAGGTGAGAAGGGGAACGTGCTGCAGTGAGATTTTGGGGAGGTTCTCGGCTTTCTTGGGATCACCATCCACTCAGCAGCTCCTGCACTGCTGCAGAGGGGGCAGGAAAACCTGACCACGGTGACAGATCCCAGTAACGTTCAGTTTCTTTAAGCCGCTTCTGAACAGTGAGGGCCATGAGTGGCTCAGGCAGGAGCAAACAGCAGAAGAGGCTGGGCCTGGGCTTAAACCACAGGAGAAATTAATTTCTGGTTGCTCTTGCCACCTCCAGAGGAATTAATTCCATGCTGGGAGGCTCCTGGTGACCCGTCACCAACCCCGTCCCGCTGACTTTTCCCCTCCTTGTCCCTACAGGCTCACTTCAGGCGGGACGAGTTCCTGGGAAGGATCAATGAGATTGTCTATTTTCTCCCTTTTTGCCACTCGGAGCTCATCCAGCTTGTCAACAAGGAGCTGAATTTTTGGGCCAAGAAGGTAAAAACCATCCGTGGCTTTAGAGGTCATGTGATGCATGAGCAGGGGGATATCCCTGCCCAAGCCATCATCCTCCTGATGTGGAAGGAATGGAGTGCCAGGGTTCTTCGAAGGCATCAGTTCAACCAAGGAACAAGTGACAGGACAAGAGGAAACGGCCTCAAGTTGCACCAGGGGAGGTTTAGGTTGAATATGAGGAAGAATTTCGTTACTGAAAGGGCTCTCAGGCTTTGGAACAGGTTGCCCAGGGCAGGGGGGGAGTCTCCATCCCTGGAGGGATTTAGGAGTCGGGCAGACCCAGCGCTCAGGGATGTGATTTAGTCAATGATTGGACTCGATGGTCTTTAAGGTCTTTTCTGGGCAATTCTGTGATCAGTAACTCTTCCTCCTCTTCCTCACCCGGCAGGCCAAGGCGAGGCACAACATCACCCTGCTCTGGGACAGGGAGGTCATGGACGTGCTGGCCGACGGCTACAACTTGCACTACGGCGCCCGCTCAATCAAACACGAGGTAAAGCCAAGGAGGGAGCACGGGGTGAAGCCCACGGGCGTTGCCTCCAGCCCTGCTCTGCCCCGGGGATAGTCAGGAGGGTCTGTCCCACCCCACGGCCTCCCAGGGGAGATGGTTGTGGTCCGTGGGTGAGAAACTCCCACTCCAGACACAGGGAATAAGGATGAGCAGGAGATTCTGGATTCTGCGCTACCCGAGGCGGGGAAGGAGAGCTGCCAGCTCCCCAGGAGGACGCTCACAAGGTTTTGTTCTCACAGGAGTTGTTGGTTTTTTGTCTCCAGGTCGAGCGGCGAGTTGTGAACCAGCTGGCAGCCGCCTACGAGCAGGACCTGCTGCCCAGGGGCTGCACCCTGAGGATCACGGTAGAGGACTCGGACAAGCAGCTGCTGAAAACCAAGGAGAGCTCTTCCCCCGGTGAGGGAAAAATAAAGGTGCCCACCCTGCGGTTGGAGATAGTGGAGAAAGACAGCAAATCCCGAAAACTGGACATCCAAGCGCCTCTGAACCCGGAGAACATGACTTACTTCTTGTAGGAGGCGACGAGCACTCCTGGTGGCCACCGGCGCAACGCTGCGGGCAGCGCGGATCAACAATAAAATACCGGGCGGTGCGGCCACCAGGCAGCCAGATTTTCAGGGCAGTGCTTCAGCTGCCCCGGAGCCGGGAGGGGGCAGGGGCAGGAGCTGCCCCCATCGCTTTGGGGTGGGCTCAGAGCGCTCCGGAGCAGGAGCTGGGGGTGGCGAGGTGCCACGCTGCCGGTGGGGGACATAAAGGTGGAGGGTTCCTGGGGTTTGACTTGGTGCAAGAGAAGGTGTCGGAGCTTTTTCAAGAAAGATCATAGAGGAAACGGGCGTGTCCAGCTCTGGTAGGATTTTTGGTTCCCTAAAGATGAGTCTCGCTGGGTTGGGCTGGGGGCAGGACAGGGACAGGGTGTACAGCTGGATTTTTAAAAGCCACCAAGCACTCTTGACTGTATTTTGCCCACTTCTCTATTTATTGCAATAAACGCGGCGTGTGCATCCGACCTTCTGCGTCCGGCACAGGCGGGAGGAGGACAGGGCGAGCAGAGCGGGGAGGTCACCCATGGGCAGGACACGTCACCCACCAACTCCTGCATCTCCTGCTCGTCACTGGGAGCCCTGAACAACATCTCCCCATCCCGGCCAGGCCACATCAAACCCTTCCCTAAATCTTTTCTCTCCTTTTCTTCTGACCTGCTGCCGGGAAAATATTTAATATCTCAGGTTTGACCAAGCTGCCTGAGTCATCTCCTGTGTCACAGCTAGAACAAAGGTCCCTGGCCCGGGCAAGTGACAGTGGCTCTCGCCAGGAAGAATTGGATTTTTCCAGCGTGTTTGTAGGCGGGAGGTTTCGCTCTCCCAAGCTGAGGGCGGCACTGTCTGACATGTCCCGGCGGGGATAGTACTGGGGTAAAATCCTCCCGATTTGGGGGCTGGTTTTGAAGAGTAGGAAATTCAATAGTAAGGAAATCACCCCCAAAAAAATGATTAGTTGCAGTCAGAACGTGGCAGCAGATGCCAGGGTCCCCGTGTGACGTGGCAAAAGCCGCTTTAGTTTTAATTTTTGGCACCGACGCTCATTTTCCAGGGGTTACGTGAAGGTTTC